ATTGTGATAAAATAGCGGTACCTAAAGCTATCCAATTCTGAATGACGTAATCCTACTGCGAATATGGGCATCTGAAAGCCCAAATTTGAAATTTGGAATTTGTTTTATTATCAATTTCATATTTTGTAAAACTTTAACGAATTTTTGATTAACAAACTCAACGATTTAAAAGCGAGCAATGGCAACACACTACGGAGGGGGGGGGGGAACCTGTCCAGAACTGTGTATCGGAAATTCTAAAGATATGCTCATTTTAAAATCATTTTGCGGCATTGCTGTTGAATTGAATTTTATGGTTTAAGTGCCAAGAAATGATATTTATTAAATAAAGGTAAGACACGAAACGTTAAAAAAAAGGCCCCTTTGTACGTAATTTAAAATCTGAAACCTTTCAGACTTTTTTTTTTGGGGGGGGGGTCAGATCGGAAAAGTAGCTTTAGTCAAAAGCTGCAACATTTGGACAACAGTGAAGGCATCCTTCTTCGTTGAGAGTTTTGTTGATCTAAATTTTTAAGTTTATAAACAAAAAAGGTTCTTCGGAAGCAATCTGGAGACTAAAGAAGATGCAGAATAAATCTGAAGAACCGCTCGCTGACTGCTTTCGCATTCATGCATTATTTATTATTCATGCATTTGTGCAGTTTTCCTGTTGCCACGGTTGATGTATGGACTGGTGTAGTTCTTTGGTGAAAAAAATGCTTGGTGACTTTTTGTGAATCAATCTAGGCCATTTTTGTTTCTTTCAAACGATCAATTTTATGGTTAGCCTCTATTGTTGTTTTTCTTACAGAGTAATCGAAGTAATTAGTGACTGATTTATTTCCCATGAAGTAATCAATCATGACAGGGGCGTAGCTCATGGAGGTAGGAAAGGGAGGAGAGGCTAACCCGCGCTAAAAGTGAAGCACTGCTTTAAAGCTTGGGTCGCTAGATGGGGTGTTCTTTCTTTACATTCAGAAGCTCGCTTGACAAGATTCTGATAGTATTTCGACACACGACAGTTCCATAGAAATCGAAAAAGGGACACTTTCGCATGAAAGAAACATTTATAGTGTGATGGATAATAGCAATTTGTATAGTTTAGTGACATTTACGCAAAAATCACATCTTGGTTATTTTTCGATAACTAACATATAAAACATATATAAATATATAAATATGCGATTTTGATTATGAATTTGTTTTATAAAATTCTAATCTGTTGCACAACAAAAATATATATTTTAAGAAAAATGTTATGCTTAAAGAATACTTATAATTTAAAAATAATACTTATACCGTATATACTCGCGTATAAGTCGATACCGCGTATAAGTCGACCCTCCACTTCCGAAATCGATCGAGAAACTTCGAAAAAAAATTTTTAAGTACTACATTTATTCAAAATCATCTGAGGAAAGAAAGTAAATATGCGATAAAAAATACCTTGGTAAATAAACAAAATCCAAATCCTTCAACGTCCGATTCATGGTCAGATTCGCCAAACATTTCATAGAACTCTTCTGCCGTCATTGGCTCGTCATCATACATATTTTCAGTCTCGAACTCTGTATTGTTACAATCACTACTAGAGCCTTCGTCTTCAGCCAATCGACTGTTCCGTCAGCATCCATCCATCCCTTTTCATGGGCGCGAACCAGCACACCTGATGGAAACACAAAGTTTTTCTTTTAAAAATGATCAACGGACGATCTTTAAAAATGACTATCTGCATTTCTCTTTTCTTGGCGCGTTGGCGAAACTTTTTTATTGCTCGATATTGATCGGTAGTTCGGGGGCCGAAAATTCTTTGGTTTAATCGAAACGTACTCTAGTTAAAGTATGAAACTCTGTGATTAGTTCGTCACATAATTTAAGTCATGAAATTACTTCAAGTAAGTGGCTTATTTGATAAGTCGTCCAATTTGAGCGCGGGAAGAAAGCAACTGCATTATATAAAGACATTTTTGAACTTCCGATTCTTTTAATTTTTTATGGCCCCACGTATAAGTCGACCCCCCCCCCACCTTTGAAGTCTTTTTTTTTTTTTTTTGTCCAAAATATCTCAACTTATACGCGGGTATATACGGTAATTTTCATTCAAATTATATTCATATATATTTTTTATGTAAAACTTTCGGGTGTATGCTAAATTAGTGTAAATTACTTTACACAAAAAATATAGTGAATGCACAGAAATTAAAGATTTGCACATGCCGGAAATGAAAAATAGGAAATATGTATGGGTATTTATGCATGTGCTTGCAAAAAGCATGTATCTGCCTTTCACAAAATACTTAAATATTCATTAAATTATTTATAAATGTATTTGAAATGAAGAATTTATTCACTTATAAACAACTGTGAAAGTACTGTGAAGAAATCTAATTATTAAATGTATCTAATTTATAATGATTATAAATGTTATCTAAATATATAATAATATTAATATTGAATTGTAAACATAAATTGAAATCCTGTTGACAAATACGTTATAAAACTATTTAAGCAAGAATTGTTCGTATTGGAAAGCAATGTGTTAAAAGGTATTGTAAAGCAAATGCTATGAGATGCGCACTTAAGAACGTAATAAAGAGTTTTGGAATATGTATTGTTGAAATGAAGGTTAAAAAAATTCTGATAAGTATAATTAAAAGAATTATTCCCCTTACATTTTATAATAACTCAGTTACAAGTTTTAAATAACACTTTAAAAAAAAAAAATTATTTTATTCCCTTTCAGAAATGTTCAGAGAAAGTCAAGTACTATTTAAAGTATTTCGCTAATTCCTAATAATTCTCTAATTTAAAATGAACCGAATATAGCATTAATTATAAACTGACTTACATTTTTCGATTTAAAAGATGCCTCAGAAGCCAAAAAATCATGTCATATTTAAGAAAGTATTTTAGGAAGAAGCTCTATAAATAAAAAAGAAATAATGCATAATTCTAATATTAATAATACAACAAACTTTGATCTTAATTTTTGTACCTTAACTGAATAAAATCGAATTACCCTAATTTTTTTTCTAATGTAATTAACGAAAACTTGTGAAAATATTTCATTCAAATTAAACCATTCTGAGAAAACTGTCCTGTGAAAAGTATAGCATTTAATTCCGCTCAGAATGAAATGTTGTTTAAAAATATGTTGTTTTCATATACTTAAACTCTGAAGTGTTGTAGAAAAAGAAAATATATACATTTATATGTATATTTACGACGTAATTACAAAATATTTACATCCGAACGCGTCAAATCCCATTGAAATTAATGGTAAATGACCCAATGTTTTGGTCACCACGTAGGGATCGCCGGTGCTTCAGAGCAGGGTACGGGAGAAACTTGTTTATGGCGACTCCATCTTACTTCCTACCTCCATGGCGTAGCTAGAGGGGTGCAAGGGGGGCATCTGTCCCCGGGCGCAGAATCCAAGGGGCGCCAAACTGATGTTACTACATTTTAGAATTAAATGTTTTCCATCCTTGGCAAGCAGTAGGGGGCGCGAAATCTTCAGTTGTCCCTGGGCACTGAAACCCTAGCTACGACTCTGAATCATGATGATTTTTTGCGAATCCCCCCAAAAAGCATACATCAGCTTAGCAGGGGACAAAAACGGTCTTCGCCTTCTTCGGCGTACTTTCACCGCTCGCTGACTGCTTTCGCATTATCCACAGATACGAATCGAAGGAAAAGGTCAAACGTAATTAAACACTGCTTTAAAATACCCTTTCGTAGGCTCTGCATTATGGGCTCTTGGACAAACCAGTGTGCTGGACCTCCCTACGGCAATCACTCACAGAAATGAAATATAAAAGGATTAGCATGGGGTCCCTATGCTCGTGGGTGTCCTTTTAAATGCCCAGCAGGACCATGTATTAAGACGATCCTGCGTACGAGTGTTTGGTCGATAGTCAATAATCATAACACAATCTCGCTTTCATAACTGTAATTTAATTTAAAATACTTAGTCTCAGCAATCTCGCGACCTTTCATTTGTCTGTCTTTAATAATGCTGTGAATTTTAACAAGCGCTACCCCTTATCTCTTAGGCACTATTAAATTTGTGGACCTGTTTGGCTTAAATTCAGATTTGGAAGATAAGTAACAACAAAAACAGCAACTATGGACCTTTTTCAACAATATTAGTAGTAGTGATGACTTTAACTGTGTGTCCCGAGTCTGCTTTATCTCCGGTTCATGTTCAATTACGTTTAAACTCGTTTATCTAGAAATACAAGTAAATGCCTTTCAATTTTAGGCCAGAATTCCCGTTAACCCATTAACCGCCAAAACTATAAGGAATGTTTCTTTTCTCATGAAAATAATGACAAATATTAAATTAAGCATTTATAATATAAATTTACATTGAAAATAAATAAAAAAAAAAAAAAAAAATAAAAAAAAAAATGCTCTCACCTGTGGAAAACGCGAGTGTTGCGTTCGCGCAACGTCAGCGGAATAAGACTACGGATGTTTAGTGAGTAGGATTGTACTCGTGTGATGTTTCTTTTGAGTGGAGCGCAGGATTACTTTTTAGCTGTATAATGTTTTATAAATCTACAAATCACTTTACTTGTAATTAATTTAATATTAAAACATACAGTGTATTTCTTTTACAAATACAGGTTATTTCATTTGAAAGATTCAAGCATGAAAAGCTTGATTACAATCATGATGTAAAGCTACATTACATACTTTGCATCTATAAACAGTCTGGCTATGGTACTCTTTACAACAAAGTCTTTTTTTTATCAACGGACTTTACGATAAAATGTCTACCATCTCCATTCAATGGTTTTTGAATGCTGAATTTACTAGGTCTTCCAGTCGCTGATCTATTTCTGGCTAATTCTACACTCTCAATAGGAGGTTTGCAAAAGGAATAATGCATTCTCGCGTCTTGAAATCTAAAAGAGACTTTTTATTTCCAGTAGTATAGAAAGTTATGAGATTTAGGTAAGTTTAGATATGGTCTCACCTTATATAATTTATCAGTACTTTCAATTTGACAATTGTCAGCTAAATGCAAATTCTGCTTCATATTCCTGTATTGCAAACATGATATCAATTCTCGTACAATTAGGAACAGAAATATCTATTATCAAAAGGTAACAATGCATTTACTTGAGGCAAAAAGCTTAATGATTTATCCTGTAAGCAATTAATATTCCAATAAATCTTCTCATATAGGCTTCAGATGCAATAAAAATCTTCTTCTTTTTTTTTTTTTTTTTTCCCCGAGCGTATATATTTGTCTGTTCAACGAGAAGAGAGTAATGTCTAAACCAAAAAAAATAATCGAAAATCTGTGCACTAGTTTTACCTTGTTTTTTTGTGTTTTATAATTTCTCTTCTATCTCTTTCTTCATGTTCTTCCTGAGACATAACTAACAATTCCTTTCTATCCACTTCAAGATTTCAGTCTTCTGCTTTTTAAACGTTTTAGTATGACAGTAAGTGCTTTTAGAAGGCTGAAAACTTACTTCTTACGTGAATTTCAACTCCCAGCAGTATCATTTGGTAAAATATCATTATCATTATTTAAAACATTGATATTCCTTTCTTCTTCGTCATTAGCCTCTGCAATTTCTGGGGGGAACAACAACAATATCAGTTTCATTCTGGTCATTATTAACATTATCATCATCTGTTTCTTCATGAAAAAATCTTTGAAGAGCTTCTTCTAATGTAAGATACCTCGCTCTAGGCATTTTTAAACAACCAGAACATCGAATGGAATGAGTGAAAAAGGAGATTGACTACCCGTTTCCTGCTGATGTTGCATCAACGCAACACCTGTTTTTCCTTGCTTCCCAACACAAATATAAACATCTGACTGATGTAATGTTCTGATAAACGGTGACCTTGACTAAAAATAGATCATCATAAAGACGGCGATTCGTTAAAATTTTCAGCTAAAATACCCAGTCGAAAATTTTGCTTAAAGTATGAGATTAATTATTATAAAAAAAATGATTGTGAAGGCAAATATGTTTTTACAGAAATAATCTTCATAATATTCCCTACACAAAATCATCTGCTGGTATAAAATATCTTAGGTAGTTATATTTATATACGCATTTATTTTGACCGTTGCGTCAACGCAACACCAGCGGCTAATGGGTTAACTTAATTAAATTCCGGTTTTATCGGAGCAGTCAATCCTTCTTTAAATAAAAAGGGTTTCACCACTGCAGAGACTTCATTTCAACCATTTTCTTTCAGCTGGTTATAATGCTTCTGTAGAATTTGAGCAACGAGTCATCATTTGCCGAAATATGACAGGAGCTAAGTTTGAAAAGTGGAATCTGCCACCGCGTCATAACCAAACGAATTACAGAATCATCTTACAGAAATGTACCAAACTGATCAAACGATCATACTAATAGAACTGCTTTTTAATTTATTTCTGTTGACTGCGAAACCTTATTGTCTTTTGGAGATAATAATTAAAATGTAATAAAATAACCAATAAAATTTGCCGCTATATCACGCAGCGAAGTCTTTCATCTTAACCATGTCCAATTGATTTTAAAGGTCATCCACTTTTTTAAAAGGAATGTTTATCATTGCGCGGAACACGTTTTTCTCTCCAGCTTTGTTTCAAGTGATACAATGTTTGTTTCAGTCACCCCTCGAATTTAACCACGTCCATGATTAGGTGTCCTCGGTAAAGCCCCCGCACTTTATCGGAAATTTAAGTTCAAGTTTACATTTATAGTGCAAGAAAGATACAAGTGCTTTTGGTGATTTCTGACACTATCGTCTTAACTTCCAAGAAAGAGAAAAATTGTTTTTCTGTTCAAAGACTTTCAGAGCATGTTACTCAACATTTTGCCAATTTCTGTTGTTATTTTTTAACACTCTTCTTGAAGGTTTATTTCAGTTTTACAAAATCTATGTTATCAAATTATCCATTCCAAAAGGAGTGAAATGTTGCAATAAATGAAGAAATGAACCATATTTCACAAACGTGTCTGAACGCTTCACCAATCATAAAGTTATGTCTCATAATTTTTATCTTTCCTAACTGAAGCATTGCTAAATGCTAAATTGCTAAATGCTAAATGCTAAATTGCTAAAACATTGCTAAATGCTAAATTGCTAAAGCATTGCTAAATGCATTCTATTAAATAATAATGTTAAAGCTAGAATACATTGACTAAACTAGAAAAATCCCTTCGAACATGCCGGAAGTTCTGGAGGGACAATAATCTACTGTTAACCAGAGAACAGGGGCTCCATTACCTAGCTGACATGATGTCTGCCTTACACGGATTAAAGCCCCTGCCTCCAGAAGCTATTTATTATGACTAAGCAGAATAAGTTTACAGTGGCATACAAGGCCTTCAAGAACACAAGAACATAAGTAACATAGTCATAAAAGACCCTAAAGAAAGCATGTTACAAGTAGTACCTATAGCATTCAAACAATAAACCGAGTATACTTTCATAATTTGTACTGAAAATACGAAATACTTTCAAAACTGAGTCCAACTAATTTAAATAAAAACTATGGTACAAACAAAAAAATAATACATCCATTACTGCATTATACACAATTAATATCAATTAGATTCACAATATTCAAGAAGAACCATTCAATTTAGAAAAAAAAAATGCATAAAGATAAACTAAGACAATAATAAACTGCCAAATAAAATTTTTTCATATGAATTCAGAATTAAGAACCAATAACTTTGATAACCTGAACAATATTATCATAAAATACACTGAACCTGAGATATTATTACAATGCAAAACATAAATTTGGTTTAAAAACAAAACCACTCCAAGTAATATAAAAACTCTACATCAGGTTTGCTGGCAACGCGATAGAAATACAGTACAAGAATAATGCCAACATAAAGATATGAAAAATTTCCGATTCCAAAAACCACATTCATTCAAAAATAAGTCAAACATTCAAAATAAGTCAAAGAAAATTATTATAAAATACTGCCTTAAATGCACATTTTACAATAGAGAACTCAAGTAAAACCAATAAAATTCACAAAAACAGGTCAACTATTCAATTCAGAAAAGTGCAAAAAGGTATACAAAATAATTATTCTAGATTAGGTTTGCTGGCATCGCTAAGACAAATGCAATACTAGAAAAATGCCGACATAAAATTTTACAGAATTTCAAAATCAAATACAAAATGCATTCAAGATTAAAGTAAAGAAAATTAATATAAAATAACTATCATGAATGCAAATTTTTATAATAGAATGCACAATTAATGCCTATCAAATTCACCAAAGTGAATCAATTCAATTACAAAAGAACGCATTAAAATATGCAAAATAATAAAATTGTCACAAAAATTTTCTGTTAAATTTAATTAACAATTGCAAAACTGAACAAAATAATCATGATATATATATGATTAAGAACGATTTCAGTACCATACAACAAATACTATGTGCATCACAAATAAAACCGACTATTTGTACAATATAAGAAAGTAATAGGCTACAAGTAACCGTTACAATTTATAAGAGCATAGATGCATTCAATGTCAGATACGTCTGTTCTACGTAAAACCATTTCTAATTTTAAATCAGTAACATAAGTAGTGGAAACAACAAAACTGAACAATAATAAGCATCAAACACACAAAGTTAAACAATTACCATTATACAGTAAAAATCTAACAGTCGCTGAAAGTCAATTACTCACTCCCAATAGAGATGATCTGAGAGAATTATTTACAGAAAAATTTAATTCCTGACAGAAAAGCATAATTTCCTTAAATTTCTTACTCTCACTAGAGTTTTTTAATATCAATTCAGCCCATTTTGGCCTGTGTTGATCTAAAGGTTTATTCAAGTGAAGGTTTTTAGTAAATGGACAGTGAAAGATAAAGTGTTCAGGGTCTCCCAACTCCCCGCAAGAACAAAGCTCAGTCGTACGTAGTCCAAATCGAAAGAGATATGTATTAAAAGGTCCATGACCAGTGAAAAATTGAGTATAAAAATTCGATGTGCTTCTTTGACTGAGTGAAACTTTTGGAAAGAAAGAGAAGACTCGTCTTCCTGTGGAGTCATTAGTCCATCTTTCCTGCCATTTCACAAGCAGTGTATTTAAAGTCTCGCTCTTCAAGTGTGAAAAAGGCAATTTCGTTGGATTTTCAATTCCGTTGATATCATTAGCAGCCCATTTAGCTAAAGTATCTGCTTCTTCGTTGCCCAGTATGCCAACATGAGCTGGCACCCAGGTAAGAAGTGGTCTTTCAGATGAATTAAATCTTAGCAATTTCTCTTGAATAACTTGTACAATCGGATTTCTATTCGTAATGTCTGAGATAGCCTGCAGACTAGATAATGAATCACTGAAGATCTTAGTCTTGCCCGATAGATTTCTTTTAACATAAGTGAGAGCAGCGTTTATCGCTAAAAGTTCTGCCTGAAAAACAGTATTTCTGTTATCAAGCCTTCGAGTCCATGTATATACCTTTTGAGTATTGTTAAATACACAAAATGCACAACCTGTTCCACGTTCAGTTTTAGAACCATCTGTAAATAGAGCAATGTCATTGGCTACTGGAGCCGTATAGTATAAATTGACTGCAGATTTGAGTTTTAAAGAGGCAGGATGGCCAAGATTAGATGGAACCCGTAGTTCATAATCATTTACTAGGTGATGTTGGTTCCATAAATCCCCATTCAATCGTAATCGTAGGATCCGTCCTAAGAAAGAGTCTCTTTGAGCCTGCAGATCTAATGGAGGTATACCCGCCAAAATCTGCAGTGAGGCTGTCGAGGTTGTTCTATAACCTTTGGAAATAAGTAATAGCTGATGCCTCTGTATTGAATTCAGTAAGCCACTCATAGTTTTGTTCATATCAAAACCCCAAATGGAGACTCCGTACAAAAGAACTCTTTCAGTGATTGTTTTATACCACAGCCGCAAGATTTTTGGGGAAGTACCCCAATTAAGGCCCATAGTCTTTGTCATGCCATTCGTAAGAACGGCACATCTCTGTTTAAGATGTTTCACATGTGGAAACCAAGACAGCGTATTGCTGATAACAAAGCCTAAATATTTCAAGGTGTTTGCACATTTTATTGGGCCTTCCATGGATTTTTATAGACGGATTTCGACGCATTTTTCTTTTCCTACCGATAAACAACATAGTAGTTTTTTTCTTCGGAAATTCTTAATTTATGCATGTCTGCCCACTCTACAAACTTATTATCGCTTGTTGAGCTCTTACTTCAATGTCCTTTACGCCTGAGATAATTAACAGAAAATCATCGGCATAAGCTTGCAAAGTTACTTGTTCAGTATTTTCAAACATACCAAAGGCCGTAATTAGCGACTAAGTTCCACAGGGTTGGTCCTAAACAGGAACCCTGTGGACAGCCTCTTTGCAAATCTTTTATTAAAATTTCATTATCCAGGGTTAATTGAATTTTGCGTTGTTCCAAATAATTTCGAATTAAATTCAAAATTTCTACAGGGCAGTTTGCGCTATCCAATGCATCAATTATGTCAGGCCACCAGACCGTGTCAAATGCACCACGTATATCAATGGAGATGATTAACGTGTGCCTGTTACCATCCCTGTTGCGTTTTACTGTGTTTAGCAGATTAAAAACAGCCATTTCAGTTGAAACCCCCTTTTTAAATCCAAATTGAAAGTCGCTGATCACTTTATTTTCAGTTAGAAAATAATTTAGTCTGTTCAATATTAATTTTTCAAAGAGTTTATTTAAAGAAGAAAGAAGACTCACTGGTCTATAAGAAGACAAAATAGCAGGATCTTTACCTTTTTTGCCAAATAAAACTATTTCGGCAATTTTCATCTGCCGTGGAAATAAAGCCAATTTCCAACATGCTCGATATAAAGATAACAACAATTGGGGGAATTCTTTGAAAAGTATCTTTATGATAATATTATCAAGACCGTCTGGTCCGGGGGCCTTCTTAGACGGTAGAGAACGAATTGTATTTTCTAACTCCTCAAGCTCCAGGAGGGCAGAGTCACTTAAAGTAGAATTCCAAGTTTGATTTTTAAATTTTTCTCGCATTACTTTATGTAAATCCATATCGTCAATCTCCAAATCCAATGGAAATAACTCATCTAAAATTTTTTTATATTTCTCTCCCAGAGAAGTACAGTCCGGAGCTACCTCTACTGGCAGCTGAAGAGGTCGAAATACTCTGTCCACTGCAATCTTTTGAGTGATGCCATAAGGATTTTCAATAGCAGCACAAAATGCCTTCCAAGATTCACTTTTTGTCTTTATAATCAATCTTTTAAAAATTGCTAGTTCCTTCTTATAAGAAATTTTAAGTGAATGCCTTATATTGTCATCCCTTTCTTTTTGCATACGTCTCCTTAAAGCACGAACTTTGTTCCTTTTTATTGTGAGCGAGTCAGACCACCATGATGTAGAGGTTTTAATCCGTACTCTTTTCGACTTATAGGACGCTGTTGCTGCATCCATCAATGAACCAATAAAAAAGTCGTAGTTATTTTCTAAATCCTCTCGAGAAGTATTAGATTCAAATAAATTTATAAATTGAGAAATTCGTGGACGAAGTTTCTCAATAAATTTTTCATGTCCACCATATGAAGTTTTAAATCTACGTTTCAAAATTATGTCTTCCGAGATTCCAATTTCAAACAAAATAATTTGATGATCACTAATAGACAAACCTGTCAACACCCTCCAATTTGTAATAGAAATTGCAAAAGGAGATGAAGCTAATGTAATATCAGGCCAACCCTTGGCTCTGACAGTCAAGAATGTTGGCTCTGAATCGGAGGAATTAAGAACACACAGTCTGTTTTCGTGGATAAAATCAAGAACTTTAGCAGCCCTATGATCTTCTTGATTTCCACCCCAAAGAGGACTCGTAGCATTAAAATCACCCGCAATAAGCAAATGATCATTATGAATAATATGTGAACAAAGTTCGGTTAAATTGCTATCTAAATCGGCCGTCGGTGGAAAATAAACGTTAGTAATATTAATACTTCTATTGATAAATTGCAAGCGAATTGTCACTGCATCTAAAGTTCTCGCCACAAAAAATGGATTTAGAGGGCCGTTATATATTATCAACGCTTTAAAAGAACCAGAAAAGAATATCTTACTACAGTTTGGTAATCCAATGATCTTGCCATCTTTGACATAAGGTTCTTGTAAGAGAGCGAGCTGTATTTCATTTCTAATCATAAAATCAATAAAATTTAAAGTAGCTGCCCTTGATCTCTGTAAATTTACTTGTGCACAAGTCAGACCCGAGATGCTCTGAGTAACAGGTATGTTCATTGAGCCTGTCACTTCTGAGTGTTGCTGAGGCGAAGAATCTCCTGCCTGTATAGCGGACATTGTGATGAGCTAGCCTGATGTGATGTCTCGTACTTCGTTCCTGCAGAGGCGTTGGAGTGAGTACAATTGACGCAATTTGCAATGCTTTCGGAGCACTCCTGAGTAAGGTGGCCCTTCCCGCACTTTGCACAGGCCGGTGGATTTTTGCAAATTAGACTTAAATGACCAAAGGCTTGACAGTGATAACAACGCGTCACTTTATGAAATTCTCGAAAGAAGCACGATGCGAAACCAATATAGACTCTCTTCAGGTCCTTCAACAATTGTGCCTGTTCTCTAGACACCTCAACAAGCAGTTGCATCTGTCTGGTCCCTTACTGCAAACATGACTGACAAGTCTTAAGCTATTCATACTGACTAGACGGAACAAAAAAAACTCTTTTTTCTTTAATTTCAGGTCAAAACCCATACTGTGTCTAAATATAATTAAAAATAAAAACTCTAATTTAAATTAAATAAGATTGGCCTTATATTAACAGGAAGCTGTATGTAGTACAGAGAACTGTGAACACTACAATACGTTTAAAATTATCAAGAGGATTAAACCTCTGGCCTGGAAGGCAACCAGCAACTGCGTAAACTTCTAAGGTAAGCGGCCTGCTTCGACTACTCCTTCCTCTCTCTCGCTTGGCAAAAAGCCACAACTTAAGTTACTTGGCGTTCGCCAGACAAATTTTGCATAAATAAGTTAACGCTTTTAATTCTGGCCGGAAGTAGAAAATAAGAAGTGATAGTAAAGATTTAAAATAAAATAAACGTTAGTAAAACTTAAGATCCTTACATACTTCCCGCCAGAGTTAATTAGTTTGAAACTGAGGTCTAAAACGACCTTGTTGAAAACTTTTAGCTCTAGAATCTAACGCGAGGCCAATCTTTTACAAACATTTTCGCTAGAAACTAGAAATTTAAAAAAAGAAATTTGTTTTTACAATAGCAGCTCCCAGGACACCAATTTTTTTCATCTGTACTGCATCTAAACAGGAGCTTTTATTCAATCTGGTTCCTTCCAGAGATCTGGAAGGAAAACTAGTTTAATGAAATGTTACACAATGAAATGGCAAGTAACATGCATATTTATATTTCTCTTAACATTCTTATTTCATTCATGACTATTTTAATTATCTCTCCCCGTGCTCTCTGACATGTGTTGTAAAAGAACACCAAACACGAATGTGTTTAGTCTACGTGTTCAAACACTTCCTCCTACAATCAAAACACTAACGTGTTAAAATTCAACATAACAAGACCTCTTAACACACCCTAATTTCAACTCTAAACCCTGAGGTACTATTCTAAAGTGGCTAACTCTAAAGTGTAGCGTCAGAGAGCCTAACTACATCATTCAACCTTTAACACATATTCGCCATGATTTAGTCTTTTTACAGTCACACGAATAAAAAAAATTTTTAACATTACTTTCACTTTTACCATATCACGGTATTTCTTAACATTTAAAATAACAGTTCACATTGTATATAAGAACATATCAACATGCCGTTAATTTTACACATTTGAAAACATACATTAGTAGTACATTGTTAACTTCTATTCTTTTCAAAGCAAGTGCCAATTCTTTCTACATTGAAATAATACATTTCAAAAAGTCTTTCAGACTAAACTTCTTTCTTGCTAGAATGTTTTAAATAAAATTTATACAATAACTTTTTACAATATTTAAGTCTTTACACAACGCTATTATACATCAACTTTAGTTTTACGCGCGAGTAATTGAAAAACATAATACCAAAATCGGTAACAACTCATTTCTCGCCCTTTTGGCGATAAAGGTAGACCTCGCATGAGGTAAAACTTCTTGAAATCTGCCACTTGCAGTAAGAATGAAAGATTAACTTAAGTTTTGCAAAGTAACATAAAATTTTACTTATCTTTGTGATATTCGGACATTCCTTTTCTGAGGCCCAGTCCTTTAAGGTAGCGCAGATTTCGTTGGTTTATCCTCCTTCTTGTACGGGCTCGCCCTTCAGTGCCTTCCTCTGGAAGCTTTCCTTTTTCACCAGTTCGGTCCACCCTTGAATACCCTTCTTTTTCGCCTCTGCTGTGGTCTTGGCCGTTTGATGGCAGCTGTCTTGGCGGAACCGGGAAACTTCTTTCGTGTTCCTGCTTGGACCTCGTTGCTGGCCGTTCAAATTTTTCCTTGTAACTTTTCCTCCGCCGCTGGTGGCCCTTCCGCAGTTCGGCGACATTTTGCTGCGGAGAGTCCTGTCGGATGAGTAGATCTTCCGTTTTAGAGCCGGGTTATAGTTGCCGTCATTTCTCCTGGCTCCCTTTGCATACGTCGTCCTTCTCCCTTCTTCATTCTGGGGGTGTTCGTGAGCTCTCTTTTCTTTCTGGACGGTGGAACGGCTTCTTTTTCTTGTTGTACCTTCAATTTTTCCCGCGGGGAAACTTTTCTTTTCACTTGCTCCTGCCCTCTTAATGGCTGGCTTGCCCTTGTACTTGTCGTTGTTCCACCTCTGGAGCTTGTGCCTGCCGTGTCTGCCGTGTCTGCCGTGCCGGATCCTGCAAAAGATCTGTAAATATTTGCATTTTATTACGATCATAGTAGGGTTTGATTTCATCAATGTTTGCGGAGCAGGTTTCACCATTTCTGGCTTTTAACACTACTACAGCGGGAGTTATTTTTTCTATGACATATGGTCCTTCAAATCGTGGAAAAAATTTGGCAGGTTAATCTTCTGGTGCTGAAGAAAGTGAATGCTTAATTTTTAATAACTTCATCCCCTACTTTATAAGTTACTCCCCGTCGTTTCAAGTCATAATACAGCTTTTTGTTTTCTCTGTGCTACTTCAGTATTCTTTTTTGCTTCTTTAATTAGTTTTTCTATATCACCCATTTTAAATTCTGGGGCTCTTTGTTGCACATAAAATAATTTATCTAACGGCGTTATAATCTTTCTTTCTGCCTAAAAATAACTCAGCAGGAGTTTTGCCCGTTGTATCATGTTTTGCGGTCCTAAGGGCGAAAGCAAATTCATTGACATAGTTATCCCCCAGCTTTTATGAAAATTTTTTAACATAACTACGGATAATTTTCACTATATTTCTATTGACCCGTTCCGCTATATTTGATTGCGGCCGATACGGGACCATTTTTAAATGACGTATGCCCAGTTTTTTGGCACATGTCTTCAAATACATTACTTACAAATTGAGGACCATTATCCGATATAACTTTTAGGGGCGCGCCCCGTATTTTAAAATATATTTATTTAAAATAGAATCAGTAACTAATTTCGCGGAGGCTCGTTTTAAGGGAACAATTCGGTCGGTCCATTTACTAAAATGATCAACCATAACAAGGAGATAGCGACTTTTATTTAACTGACTTTTTGGGAAAGGGCCCAATAAATCGATGCCAATTATTTCATTTGGAAATTCGGATTTAATACTATTTAGAAACCCGGCCGGGCGGAAATTAATATAATTAACTGCTTGACATGTTGGGCAGGACTGGACATACGCCCTTGTTAACTTTTGCAGTTCAGGAAAGTAGACTGCCTCGCGTACGCGTTGGATAGTTTTTCGAATACCAGCATGAGAAGCTAAAGGGCTGTCATGGAGCTCCTGCAGGATATTTAATCTAAGACTAGCTGGGATAACAGGTCGAAATTCGTTGTTGGAATTCGTAGTTTTTGTATAAAATAATAGACCATCTATTAGTTCGTAATGGGCCGCCCTATTTCTTATCGCCACAATATCTTGGTGGCTAAAATTTTCAGGATCCTTTAAATACTCATAAATACTTCCAAACTCAGGATCCTTACCCAGTTCGGTTATTACAGTTTCTCGGGAATTTATTGTACATGCTGTAAGCATTGCCACCTTTACGGTATTACCTTGTTCATCTATTTTAATTCTTGATAGGGCATCTGCTACGATATTTTCCTTTCCGGGGGTATGCTTGATTACCAGATTATATTCTTGTAGCTTGAGTGCCCATCTTATTAACCTTGGGGATAAGTTTTTTCCCTGAGTACAATCTAGTTACCGCCGCATGATCAGAGTACACTGTTATTGGCGCCTTTCCAAAATAGACTCGGAACTTTTGCACTGCTAACAGAACTGCAAGTGCCTCTCTCTCGGTCGCGGAATAGTTTTCTTTGTGTTTGATTTAAAGTTCGGCTAAAAAATGCCACGGGTTTGCTGATGATTTTGCGAAAGTACCGCTCCTACCGCATAATCCGAAGCATCCGCTGAAATTTCTAAATTCTCATCCTTTTCAGGAAATTTCAACACAGGGGCTTGCGTTAATGCTTGTTTTAATTTTTCGAAAGCACTATTGGCTTCGGCCGTCCACGAGAATCTTGCCTTTTTCCTTTTTAATTTTAACAATGGCTCAGCGAATAGCTGCAAAATCTTTTATAAAGGACCTATAATATGAACAAAGTCCTAGAAAAGAAGAGAGCTTCTTCGCCGTGTTTTGGAGTCGGATACTTTTGTACAGCGATTATTTTTTGATTCGTCTGTCTCGATTCCTTTCTGAGATATTTTGTAACCTAAATATTTTAATTCAGGGGCTGCAAATTTGCACTTTTCGACATTAACTTTTAGACCGGCCTCATTTAATAAAGAAAACACCTGTCTTAAATCCTGTACATGTTGGTCGAGATTATCACTAGTAATAATAATGATATCGTCTAAATAGATAAATGTGGACTTTCCAAGAACAGGTCCTTAACACAATGTCCATGCATCGCTGAAATGTTGCCGTTGCCCCTGAAAGGCCAAACGGCATACGCAAAATGCATAAGTGCCAGACTTGGTTATAAAAGCAGTCTTAGGCACGTCCTCAGGCCTAACCCCTATTTGAAAATAACCAGTCGTTAAGTCTAAAGTCGTCATAATATTTGGTTGATGTTATGTTCCTTAGAATTTCTTCAATAATAGGTAACGGATATACCGGATATTTAGTTATGGAGTTTAATTTACGGTAATCAATAGCGAATCTCCACCTTTTTGGATGTGTCAAAGGATAGTCA